TCCGGCGTCGCGCGACGCCGCGTCGAGCGCGCCGCGCCGCGCGTCGAGCGCCTCGTACTCCGCGAGCTTCTTCCCCGCCGTCGGCCGCTTGGCCAGGTCCGACCGGTGCTTCGCGAGGTGCTTCACGATGGGGCCCTCGGACGCCGCCTCGCGGCCGCAGAGCTCGCAGACGAAGCGCCGCTCCGCCTTCTTCGAGTCCTTCTCGAGCACGACGCAGTAGCGGCCCCAGTCGTCGTCGACGCGCGACGACGACACCGCGAGGCCCCGGTCGTCGGCGACGCGCCGCGCGAACGAGTCCGGCGGCAGGAGCGACGCCTCGCGCGCGCGCCGCACCGCGGCCTCGACGGCGCCGTCCCGCGGCTTCCGCTTCCGGTCCGCGAGCTCGTCGGGCCCGACGACGAAGGCGCCGCCGTCTTCGCCGACGAGCTTCGCGACCTTGGCCGCGACGACGCGCGCGGCCGCGGCCTCCTGGCCGACGACGAGCACCGTCCGCCCGGCCGCCGCGAGCGCGACGCACGCGTTCGCGAGCGTCGACGACTTGCCCGTGCCCGGCGGGCCCCGGAGCACGAGGGACGCGCCGGCGACGATGCGCGATATGGCCCGGCGCTGCGTCGCGTCCGCGGCGCCCGCGATCGCGACCAAGTCCGCCGGCGCGTCCTCCGGCGCGCCGCCGCCGAAGACGGCCGCGTAGGCCCGGCTCGTTTCGCGGCGGACCTCGTGGCGCCGCAGGCCGTCGGCCTCGCGGGAGTAGCGCGCGCGCGCGTACAGCACGACGTCGACGGGGCCCGGGCCCGGCAGGTGCGTCGCGAGCGAGCCGTAGGTCCATGGCGCCGCGGGCGCGAGCGGCTCTTCGCCGGTCGGCGCGAAGAAGGGCGCGCCGTCGAGCGCCGCGGCGCCATCCTCGAAGACCAGCGGCGCGTAGAGTTGCCGGCCGCCGCGGCGGAAGGCGGCGCACGCCGGGCCGTCGCGGACGGCGCGCTCGGCGAAGAACGCGGGCAGCGCGTGGGCTTCCGGCGCGGTGGCGCCGTCCGCGACGATCC